TCCCCTCAGCAGTATATTTCAGTGATCCGCCTGTTCTGCTCCCCACTCTGTCTCTGGTGAATCCTTTCACTCCCCGCACCACTGGCCTATACACCAGCAGTATAAGAAAAAAAATAATAAAATAAAGTTTTTCTCATTAAGGATGCTCTAGAGTTAATGTGTGTGTAGTGCAGCAGGCTAGAACCAGGCCCTGGAAGGGTCCGCTGCTCAGCACTGTGGATCAATTGCTTAAACTCTCTGAGGTTAAAATGACATCTAGTGTCACTATGACTAGCTTATGCAATAAAAGAAAAAAAGTGTGGGTGTGGGAGACTAGGAGGAAACTAAGCTCTCCCCCAAATTCTAATAAAGAGTTGGATAACCACTCTGTGGGAACGGTGATTCCAGGAACCTCAGCAAGGGCGTTCATAGAATGCCTCGTTGAAGCTCTGCCCTTCCCTGTCAGGACTTGACTTGAAGCTGCTACTGCAAATGTTCAGCACCCCTGGTTGTTGGCTCAAAATTCTAAAGCCCTGGGCCTCCCTTATGGAGCAGTGGGTTAAAGCACAGCACCACGAATCTTAAGGCAGCCGCTTCAGTTCGATCCCCGGGCAGGGAGCTGACCCCCATGGCGCGGCAGACCTCTCCTGACCCTCCTGCTGCTCCACTCAGTAGTAAACTGTGTCGATCGACCTGTTCTGCTCCCCACTCTGTCTCTGGTGAATCCTCTCACCGCCCCTGCACCTCGGGCTTGTACCCCAGTTTTGGATGCATAAATAAATAAATCTTTAAAAAATTCTAAACCTCTGGCAACAGGGTGTTTCATTGGCCCAGACAGAACCACATGTCCACCCTAAACAAAGTAATTGTGGACACGGGGTCCTGGTCACTCTCAGAGGCAACGCCTGGAGGGAAGGGCCAGGCCTTTCCTGGGTAGGGAGCGGTGAGGAACAGGAGCATCTGATAGACATGAGCGTTACTGGAAGGAATCCTAATAACCCCTTCCTTAAAGGTGGGTACTCCCGCCCTTAATTTTAAGTTCCATCTTCTCTCCTTAACCCCCTCCCTGGCAACCTCATCTACTCCAGCTTGCCAAGGACCACCTTCCTTCTGGGCTCTCCTAAGTCTGAACAGATACAGATAAATGACTTACCTGGGTCCACAGCAACTTCTGCTGCAAAATGGTTCCTCACCTATAAAACAAGACTCCTTTTAGTTGTTGTTTTTTTTTTTTAAGATTTACTTGTATTTATTTGTGCATACAAGAGCTAGGGTGTAAGCCAGAAGTGTGGGGGTGAGAGGATTTACCAGAGGCAGAGTGGGGGAGCAGAACAGGTGGATCTACTGAAATGCACTGCTAAGGGGAGCAGTGAGTGGGACAGGAGAGGTCTCCTGCCTCATGTGGGTCAGCTCTCTGGGGGAGATAGTACTCATGCTGCAGTGGCTGTCTATAGTTCATAGTGCTGAGACTTAACGCCTTGCGCCACCAGGGAGGCCCAGGGCCCCTTTTAGTTCTAACAGGCCACAATCCACTCACTGTCCCTCCATCATGCCTTTTGCTTTCCTTCCTTTTTACCTTCCTCATACTGTGCCCTCTGCCTGGAGAGCCGCCCCGTCCACGTCACTGATTTCATTGCATTAATCAACATGTGCTGAGTATCTGTTTGAATGCACATGTCTTGGGCACTGCCTGGCTCCCAAGTCCTGCTTTCCTGGGAATTGTTCCCCACCCATTTCCCAATCATATACTGAAACAGGCTCCCAGATTACATGGTCCTATCCCCTGTGCCACAGATCATGAAATCTGGGGTGCACATGGATGTTAACTGACATAATCAGATTCCCTCTGCCAGGAATCGGGAATCCGAAACTGAGAGACCTGGAGCCTGGGAGCCCTTGGAGCTGAGTTCCATTAACGTCAGCTCTTTAGCAGGGGCCATCCATCAACCCCTCTCAGAAGTCCCTGGGGAGCCCCGAGTCCTACTCCTAGCCTCTCTGGGCAGTGGTTGCTGGAGTCGGTGGAGTGGGTGTCTTGGCAGCTTTCTACCTACAGCCTCTTTCCCCCTTTTGGGCTATGTCCTTTTGCTATACTTTCAACCAAATGGCATTAAGGAATGCAGTGGTATCTGAAGCACTGTTACATCCAGTAAAATACTCTGGCCTCCAGCAACATCTGTTTGAAATGCTACCCATGTTTAGAATCTCCACTTATCAGCCCCTTCCTCCTCCCAGTTTTCCCATTTTCCCCAAGCAGATTTAATTCCTCTCTAGTGAATTGCCATTACATTTTGCTTTACCTCCCTTAGACTCGTCTCTTTAAGGTATTTTTTTCCCTTAAGTTATCTCAAACATCTGCCTCTTCCACTAATTGCGAACACTTAAAAGCAAGGGCTAGCTTTGGTTCCTAGCACAGTATCACATACACATCACTAAGCAAGAACTTTGGCTGTTGTGTCTGCCACCATCTGCTCCCCCTTTCCTTTGATAGCAGAACCCCAGTTTTCCTTTGAGAAATCTGAAAATTTTCCTTCATTCATTCCCAATCCTGTGCTTCAGGTGGGTTCTAGAAGTGGACAGGACATGACCACTTCAGGGAGCCCTGTGAAGGAAATGACTAATATAACAGAGTTGCTGAAGTAGACAGTTTACAAGGGGAGCTGGAAAAAGGGAGCTCGTTCCAGAGAGGACAAAGGCCCAAGTCCTAAAAGTGTGCGGGTTATTTCTGCTGCACAGATTCCCGAAAGAGTTTGTTGACTCACACACAAGAACTGAGGCAAGTGTACAGAACTGTAAGTTATGTTTTAATACATATATATTATTATACCTATAATATACATACATTACCTATCATATAGATTAGGGTGCTTGCCATGATGTAGTTACATAAATAATAATTTGGGGATTGGATTGGAAAGAGCACCTAAAGTCAGTTCAGATACTCCAGGTGACAGATGAGGGTCTCCTAGCTCCGATGGAAAGTGAACCTGTTAGGGATTAGGATGTAGGATTTACGCTTAGAGCCTTGATTACTCAGTCTGAGGGTGTAGAGGAAGTTCCTTCACTCCCAGGTCATATTTAACAGGAAACTTTGAGGGTGAAAACCCCTGACTATTGTCTGCTGCTAACCCAGGTAAACAATGTTAATGGGGGGTGGGCAAGCCGATGCCCAGTGGGGGCTGGGGAGAGGCGTTTTTTTCTTGCAGTGGTGGGGGGCGCGTGGGACACCTTGGAATGCCATCAGATCCTGTTGAAAGGCTGCTGACTGTTTCACTAAGGCCTGAGACCAGCCATCCCCCCGTCAGCCACATGGAAAGAGCTAAAGGACTCATTTCTGACTGTGGGAGCACTGTTGACACCATGATGTGAAGGGGGCTTTGCTGGGTGCAGGGGCCCCAGGAAAGTGGCTGTTCAGAGAACCGCTCTGTGCAAAGCGGCAGCTGGCCTAGAAGTGGGTAGGGAAGAAGGTTGCTGCCAAGGAGCTCTGGTGGGACTGAGAGTCTGGGGGGTCAAGGAGGAGGGTGGCCCTGAAAGAACGGAGGAAGAGCCAGGAGGAACCTGGGCACTGTAGGTAAGAGAAGTGCAGGAGAACCTAATATTCTAGAACTTTCCTGGTTCCCCCTGGGCTTACCTCCCACAACTGGTGTCTTCATGTTATTCCCTGCTTCACACAGCTGCACACTTGGGTCCCAGATGAAGAAGCAGCCTTTGTGAGTCTTTCCTAGAAGGGACTTTCCCAGGCTCTGAATTTTTAGCATCAGTTTCCATTTGCTTTGGTGGGAAGCCAGCTTACTGTGGGAGACTTTGAACTCTGAACTTGCTGCTGGGAGGAGGGCAGGAGATTCCTAGAGGTGTGGCTTAGGAGGAAGAACTTGTTTATTGGAGCTAATGGCAGGGGGCTGGGATCAAGCCCTAGAAATGACTTTATTTGGGGGGGTCTCCCTGGTAGCCTAGGGGTTAAGCCTCAGCATATCACCACAATGGCCTGAGTTCAAGCCCCCACCGGGGAGCTGACCCACATGGCCCAATAGACCTCTCCTGTCTCGCCCACTGCTCCCCTCAGCAGTGTATTTCAGTAGATGCACCTGTTTTGTTCCCACTCTGTGTCTGGTGAATCCTCTCATGCCCTGTACCTCTGGCCTATACCCCAGTTCTTGTATGTCTAAATAAATAAATCTTTTTTAAAAAATGACATTTTTATTAGAGACACCACTTCCAGGTGATTCTGATGCAGGAAGAACACACAGGGTGACGTGTGTCCATTGTGCTAGGAAATCCATCACCTATCGGCAGTTAAGGCCACTTGGGAGCCCAAAGGCTGCACAATGAACGCTGGCTCCCCACGGTTGTGTGGAGAATGTTAGGCTGTGTGGCTGTGACTGGCAATCCCGCAAGCCTGGAGTCCTTTGTCTGGGCTACTCAGGGTGGGAGGCAGGGGCTTGCTTTCCCCCGTCCCTAGCCATGTCCTCTAGGCTGAATCTGGGGTGTCTTTGGGGGAAGCTGAGTAGAGAAAGGGGAATATCTGGAAAGCTAATGCCCTGACCCTACATGGTGGGTCCGACACCCTGAGCCCCTTCCCAGACTGGGGCCAGGCTGCCTGCCTATAACCCCAGCTCTGTTTCTTCCTGGCTAATGTGTAGATGCCACTCCTCCCCTCCTTGCGGTTCCCCAGCCACAGCAAGTGAAGTAAGTCCACAGTCCTCCCTTTACCTCCCGAGCTCTCTCCAGTCTTCATTCAGGCACCTTTGGAGATTACAACCCAACACAGATCCTTTTAGAAAAGCAGATTTATTGGTCGGGCAGTTCATCAGGACACAGTAACAGGAGAGGCTCCCCAGCGGCAGGAAACTATGTCTGCCCACACATCAGGCCCCTTCAGCCCATCAGCACCAAGGGACCTTGTCCCACAACCCCCATGCTCCCTCAGCTGATGTGTCCAACCATTCAGAGGCGAGAAGGGATCCAAGATAAGGAAAAAAAAAAAAAAAGCAAAGCCTTGTATTGTAAAAAAAAAGGTGTGTGTCCCCAGCCTCCCTCCCTCCCACGCCCCCTAAAACAAAACAATTAGCTGCAATTCTAAAAAAGCAGAGCAGGAAGACCAGGCAGAGAGGTTGGGGAGAAGAAGGCCGACTTCAGTTCCTCCTGGGCTGAGATTTGGAGAGGGGGCGCTGTCCTTGCTCTGACGAGCCGCCCTTACTGGGGAGGAGCAGGAGGACTGACTCGGGCCTGGTCAGTGGCCTACGGAAACCAGAGCCTCGGCTGGAAGTGGCACCTCTCAGCTCCCAAGCCTCAGGGAAGGACCTCAGACAGGCGAGGAACCCAAGAGGACTTGGCAAGCTCTTCCACTTTCTGATACTAGCTCTAGGGAAGGCTTTCCAGAAGAAGCTGCCAGGGGTAGAGGCTGGGCAGCTCCACAGAAAGGGGGCAGGGGCGACTCCCAGCGTGGTGGCCGGCCATCCACCTTGTCCATTCCAGTCCGCAGCCTCCTAACTTCCAGCTCTCTGCTGCCCCCTTCTGGAACCTAATTTTCTGGACTTCGAGAAATGGCTGCGGTGGGGGTGGCTACCCAGATCCCTCTATCGGAGGGAGGGATTAGGTGAATTTACCTTTCTCTTGGGATAATTTTGCTTTCTCACACCATCTACTCCCCTTATCTTGCTATCTCTGAGAACCCCAGTAAGGTGGGATTCGCCTCCTGTTTCTCAGGCTGCTAATGAGAAAATTTCCCTTCACCAGTTTCCACCTTCTATTTTCTTTTTCTCCTTTCCAAAACCATAACCATGTTCAGGTCCCTAACACGCAAGTGTTCCCCACTTTCCACACACTCCCCCCTTACTCCCCTTCAGGGTTCTTCTTGGCTTCAGGTTAGCTTGCTGGGACCTTGTGCAGAGTCAGCCTGTTATTGACCCTCATCCAGGGTCATAGCTCACTGTCCTCTCTCCCCTCCACCCCCGGTTCTCCCAAAGCCACTTTAAGTCCTTTCAGTAAGGGTTCTCCCACGTGGGCAAGGATCCTCTCTCCTTGTATGATAATGCTGGCTTTGAAGTCTCTGGGAATCAGGATGAGAAAGGGAGCAGGAATGACTGCGTTGGGTGTGAGTGTGAGGGGACAGGTGGGGGGAAGGCAGTTGGAGTCAGGCTACTAAGGAAATGACAGTTTCCTTTAGGCTCCCCGACTTGGACAACCTGGGGACGGATCGCTCCTCATTCCATTTCCACCCAGGCTACGCCCCAGCCCACTGCGGAAGCCGCACCCCACTCCTGTCTGATCAGCTTGGAGGTTTGCTGCTTGGGATTGGGTTGTCAGTTTGGAACAGCCTCAGCCTGTCTGGGGGCCGAGAGAGGATGCGACAGAGAAAGTTCAGAGGAACAGGGACGGGGCAGGGCTGGGAGGGGCGGGGGGTGCGGTGGGGCGCGGCCTCCTGGGCACAGCCCGGGCCTTGCGCTCAGTCGCTGTCGCTCTTGTCCACGAGCACGGCGTCCGACTCCTCGGTGATCTCCAGCAGCGTGTGCACGTCCGGGCTGCTCCCGCGCAGCAGATCGGCGGCCTCGCCGCGCTCCGTGCCGCCCTCCTCATCGTCGGCGCCCACCTCCACCATCTCGGTGGCCTTCAGCACCTCCACCTCGCCCTCCCGGATCTTCTTCACGTGGAAGGTGAAGGGCGGCACTTTGTACACCGCCGTCTTGGAGCGCGCGTAGACCACGTGGTCGGGCGTGAAGGACTTGCGCAACTTCTCCCGGGAGGTCTTGAGCTTCTCGCGCCGCTCGGCGGGGACCAGGCGCGTGCCCAGCTTGTTCATGCGCTTCTCCAGGGTGTGTCGCGTCTTCTCCAGGTTCTCCTTGGTCTTGAGACGGGTCTTCTCCAGGTTCTCGCGGGTGCGCACCTTGGTCTTCTCCATCTTCTCCTTGGAGAAGGCCTTCTTGAAGTCGTCCACGCGCCGCAGGCCACTGCGCTTGATGCGCTCGGCGCGCGACTCCTCGATGACCTCCTCCACCTCCACCGCCTCATCGGACGACAGCTCGAGCGCCCCCGCGTCCTCCTCTGGCCGCTCGCCCTCGCCCAGCTCGTCGCCCTCCTTCTCGGGCAGCGCCTCCGACTCTTTGAGGGATTTGCTGATGCTCAGCTTGGCCGGCAGTTTCACTTCATCCTAAAGGGAGGGCAGAACCAAGAGATGAGGAGGGGCAAGGCGCAAGGCAGTGCAGCAGACGTGGGGGGACGCTGGGCGAACCGAGTCAGGCGCACGTCCCGGGAGGGGAGTGCGCGGTACCGGTGAAAGCAGCCTGGCTAAGTCGCAGCTGCTTCCCAGCGTCTGGCACAGAGCCCGACACCTGGTGGGCGCCCTTAAGTAGGTGTGGAGCGCACGATAAGTACAGACTGGTGGAGGAGGGACCCGCTTTGGGTGAGAGATCCGCCAGCATTATAACTGCACTTGCGTTTACTCTCTGCAGCCCTCCACGCGGCGGTAGGCTGACTCTTCCCTAAGGTGCGCGCCCGGAGCACACTGCTCCACTTTGGCAGTGGACAGAGCGCCCTCTGGTGCACCAAGTCGCACATTGCCCGAGCCCCGCCAAACTAGGGGTGGGAACGTTTCTTCAGCTTAGGGAGTAGCCTGGTGAGTCTACTGCTAGGCTCTGGAGACGCCCCCAGACGGTGGTTTGAAGTTAAGGTACAGGGGGTGCCTTTCCCAGACTTCAGACCATTTCTAGCAGTCGGAGGCCCGGGTTCCCGCTGTTTGTCCTCTTATACTGTTGATACCACCCTGGCCATTTTCCACCCTCACCCATACCTCTGCCCAAACAACGTGGGCCCCTGTCTAAGGGGCTCCCCTTACCCCCCACTCCAGTGTAGAAACTGAGGAAGGAAAAAAGAAGTGACTGGGAGCCAACAATATGTTTTCTCCCCAACCTGACCTGGACATTTCTTTTGGTTCTGACCCCCCTGCCTTGGGCTGGAAGGGAGAGATTACTTTTCCATTCCTGACTTCCCCCACCCCCACCCCAGCCCCATGGAAATTCAAGTGGCCAGAAACAGGGTGGTGAACGGAGATTCTTGACATCCTGGAGCTGGGAGCCAATTCCTTCCTCTTCCCCTGGGAGGACCTAGCATCAGCGCTGTTCTTCCATTCCAAAATCGCCAAGATTTGACTCTGGGCAACATTTCAGAATCTCAGGATCACCCCCTTCTTCCCACACCCCTGTCCCCCAAGGCGGGGCGGGGGTGGGGGGGTAGTAGAGGGTGATGCTGTGCACAAAACAGGAAAGGGAACACCCGGTAACCCATGGACTGGATCTCCTCTTTGGCCCAGACTCTCTTTAGGGACTTCAGAAAAAGGAATAAAGGAATTTTTCTAAAGGGTTTTCTGAAGGTTATTTCCCAGAATTGTAATAAAATCCCATCTGAGAAAAAATGAGGCAACATGTACTGACCTCGCTCCCAAACACACACACACACACATGCACACTGTGACCCTTTGGTATCGCTGCACCACCTGCTACAGAAATTCCTTCCCCACCCCCCAACTTCTTTCCTTTTCCCTCCCATCAACATCCCCCCAGAGTTTCCTGGTTTACATTGAAAACTAGGAACACCCCCTCCCCACTTCCTTCCCTCCCTCTCAATAGCATTAGCAGGGACAAAGAGGCAGCCCTGGCTCCACCCCTGCTCCCAAGCTGGGCACCAAGCCTCCTTGGCTCTCCTTACTCAACTACACCTCCCAGCAGGCCTGGGCACAGGGCATGCTGGGACTTGTAGTCTCCACCTGCCACAGCTGGGTTAGTACTCCCAAACACATTCTATAGCATTCTGCCAAGCCCATGCTTTTTATCACTCATAGAGGCAGTGAAAGGGGTGTCGTCCTTGTTCTGAGTGCCGGAAGGTCCCAGCCTCTTAGGATCACTCACTTATCCAGGCTCGTTACATAAGTACTGTCTCTTATACTATTTCCCACACTCTAGGATCTAAACTCTCCACCTCTATGTCCATCTTCACCAAGAATTACCTGGAAACCCAATATAAAGGAGATGTAGTTCTGCTCCTTCCTTCACAGTTTCCCATTTTACACTTACGCTCACTCCACATAAAAACCCCACCTTCCCCTAAGTTCAGACAATGTGGATGGACTAGAGAGGGATTAAGAGTAACGGGTGGGGAATAGTCAGGAAACAGTCCCAGCTGCTGGAAAACAAATCCACATTGTCTCCCCGATCCACTCCCAGCATCCCTGGTTCACCACCCCTCTACCCCACCCAAAGAAGGCTGGGCTGGCTGGTGTTCTGGTCTCTGGCTTCCTAGGTAAAGGTCTTTGCCAATTAAGCTTGGAAGTGAACAGGCCCTAGGAGAACATCACAGCCTTCTAGTAGGTGATCCCATCTTCCTAGTGCCTGATAGGAGATCTCAAACTAGATCGGGGGACAATCAGTGAGGGGGAGTATATACCTGGATTGTGAGGTGTCTTCCTAGTCCAGGAAGGTAACCTGGAACTATAGCCCCATTCACTCTAGGTTTCCCACAGTGATGACTTCTATGGGGAAGCTGCCTTCTTAATGGGAAGCTGGGGGTTTGGGTGGAAACAGCTTGACCTAAGCCCCTGATAACCGACCCCGGAGAGAGTAAACCGCCACGATTCAGCTTTTCCCCTCCATTAATGGATTTTCCTCTTTCCTCCTCCTTTCCAAGCCAGGTTTCCCCTATGACTCATGGCCTTGAAGTGCTGTCTTGGGCCCACCCAGTTGGCCTGTTGCTACAACATCCACCAACACAATCCAAAAGCACCTCCCCCCACCCTGGGCACACAGGCCCGGCACACTTGTCCCACCCCTACTTCCCTGGCAGAGGTCCTAGCCAAAGGAGGGGCCTCGGGGTGACAAGGGGGGGAGGGCTCTGCTTGTTCTGTTTTCACATTTTTATTAAACAAAACCACCACTCCCACAGGCTTGGTTTCCAGAGTTACCTTTAATGACCAGGTCTGAACAAAAACATGCACAGCTTCCCCTGCCCCACTAAGCACACACAGCTCCCCACCCCAGGAAGGCGCCAGTCCAAGATCAATCGAGAGGGGCACCAAGGTGACTTCCCAGCCCGTCTGCTCCACTCCCCACCCCTGCTGTCTAAACTTAAGACCCTCTGGCTTAGGAAGAAGATTCTTGTGCTACTATGTGTCCGGTCCTGGGCCCGGCACTTCACATTTGACAGGGAGAAAGGCAATGTCACTGGGCTGCGAGTGGGAACCTCCCTTGACTCGTGCTAACCAGCTCTGTTCCCAGCCACTGCCTGGGAAAGACAGAGGAGCGAGGGGAGAGATGATTCAGAGCCCAGGATTGGCATAGAGAGAACACTGGAACAGAGCAGACTGGGGGGAGGGGAGGGGGGAAGTCATCAAAACTCAGGATTCTGCTTGTCTGCTACAGTGCAATTCTCTTCGAGGATGACAATGCCCCACAAATGGGTAGAAATTAATTGGGGGGTGCACCTGGTGCGAATGGATAAAATTCACGGGCAGGGAGACATTAGAGGATAATGCCTTCCAGGACTCCTGGGGGGGTCATCACAATAAAAGGGTTAACAACTCTGTGCTGTAGGGAAGCAAGAGAGGATCCAAGCCAGAACCATTCAAATGTCCCCCTTTGTCCTCTTGGAGTTGGCAACTTTTGAGTGCCCCACCCAAGGCAGGATCTGGCACACAGAGATCTCTTTGCAAAACATTTTCTAAAAAAACTGGGGAAAATAAGGGTCAGTGTTTCCCCAACTGTGAGTGCAGGGAAGAGTGGAGAGCCCAGAAGCGATCCCAGGCTGGGCCTCATGAGGACCCTCTCCAAGAGGCTTGGGGCCAAACTGGCCCATCTCAGAAGGAGGCAAGG